AAAACGGCGCACAACCCCCCCCCCCCCAATTTCCAAAAGACTTTGATCCTCTCCATCATCTCATTAGCTGCACATAAACAAAAAACACACAAGAAAAGAGGGGGACGGAAACAGATCGGAAGGGAGCCATTTTCCTTCACCTAAAACCATAATTTTCTTCCCTCCAATTTCAGCTATGTAAGGCCATTTTAACCACCAAAAATTAGCTTCAAAACCACCTGTAATTCCCGTGAAAATCATCCTTAAACTGCTTTTGAGATTGCCATCAAAGCCCAGTTCAAATCCCTCCAAAACATCACCTAAACCTGGGTCAAAAGCAGCTGCAAAATAGCTCCAAAAATACCTCAAATCCAGCTAAAATTCAGCTCCAAAAATAATAGAAAACACCTCAATAACCAGCCCCAAACCACCCTATTTCAGCTCCAAAACTACTCTCAAAAACACAACAGCCCTTATCATTGAAACACGCCAATTTCAGTCAAGTGAGGTTTTAAATTTCGGGATTCGAAGTTCGCCTTGCCAACGAGCCGCGAATTTCCGACGAGTCGATAGAGCTTGCCGAAGCTTCCATGATTTGCCGAGTGCTAAATTCCATTCATGTTCAATTAAGGTTCATTTCTTTTTAACTTCTAAATTTGGATCTTCATTTGGAATTCATCTTGTACTGGTTCGTGTGGAGCTTGAATAAACCGGGGCCTTATTAATATGGTTTTGAATGTGTGATTTGCTCTTTGGTTTTGATAGCTTTATATTCTAATTTGAATACTCTGCTTATTTGCTTTGGGAAATAGTTAAAATATCTATGACTTGGGTTCCCCTTTTTGTTTGTTAGTTGATGTGTAAACAAACAGAATAAATTTTAGTAATAGAATAAAGTTTGTTGTCTCATGAGACGTGCGCTGTTGGGATTTTAGGTTATAGTAAAATTGGGTGTTGGACTGAATTTTGCAAGAAATTAGATCAATTGTGTTGAATCCAAATAGGGCCCAAATGTCAATAAGACTATAAACTAGCCTATCTTTCCATAATTAATTTATCTCATTTCTTTCTACAATAATTTCTCCATCCATACTTCTCATGGTCTCGCAATAATCTCAAATTAGTTTAGGAAAATCATGACATCGTAGCTTGCTTTAGGCGCGATTAATAAATCATCGTGGCTATGGGTACGGTTCCCGTGGCATGATCACGATACATAATCCCCAATTCGGGTGTGCATTTCATGTGACCCGACCTCAACTTCGAACAAAAATAAAATACACATGTCGTAGATCGTGGGTACGGTTCCCGTGACGCGATTCGCAACGTGTACAAAAACAAACAAGTGTACGACAATCGTGGCTTGTTTCAGAAATAACTCCATAAATAATTAAAAGCGGTATAAAGTTAAAAATGGATAATAGGTTTAAAACATGTAATAAATCAGATAATTAGGCCAACTAATAATAATTTAAGCGACCGTGCTAGAACCACGGAATTCGGGAGTGCCTCACACCTTCTCCCGGGTTAACAGAATTCCTTACCCGGTCTTCTGTCTTCGCAGACCATAAATAAGAGTCAATTTTCCTCGATTTGGGATTTAAAATAAAATGGTGACTGGGACACCATAAATTATTTCAAGTTGCGACTCTAAATAAACAAAACAATTTCATTCCAATTTATGTCACTTTAATTGGAAAAACTCCCTTATATCCCCCTCGGGTAAAAAGGAGGTGTGACAGCTCTGGTGACTCTGCTGGGGATAAGAACCCAGAACTTCTGGTTCAGGGTTCAGAATTCGAGCTTAGAATAACTGTTATAGTTGGCTTTTGTTTATTATCTGATTTTTACGTTTTTGAGCCTAATGTGCCAAATGTCGCTTTTTACCGCTTTGATATTGTTTGGATTGTATATAAATTGTTACGAAACCCTCTTCTCTCTGAGTCTTCTAAATCATCTGGGAAGTGTGCACTTCGTATGACTTCTTTTCTGTTAGAGTCATATCCTAAGTTTAGAACAAGGTTCGAACAAGTTGCAAAGTCAGTGAAGCTTCTGTTCCCGGTACGCTACCTCCCCCCCCCCCCCCGGCTCGAGCTGTCCACTCGGGTAAGCCAGGTCTAGAACAATACACTCAGGTTTTCAACCTAGAATAACATAGCCTCATGTCGGATCCCTAGTAGGAACGTTTGTTTTCATCACGTGCATTTGACTTTGGGGACTCAACATAGAGGTTGGGTCCGACTAGGACAGGTGTACCCAAATTAAAAGACAATCCTGATGCATCTTACGTGCTACTTGTGTATCTGTTTGTTTCGGCTTGCATGTTGACTGGCTTCTAGAATAGGGAAAGAAAAAAAAAAGAGGAAAAAAAAAACAAGAGTGAGAGGTAGGTATTTGAATTATCCTGAAACCCTGCCAAAATTTTGAAAAAGAAAGAGGAAAAGTCATTTCAAAATAAGTCATATTTTTCCGTTGCGTCAAAACTGGCCGAACTACGCGGGTCTGATTCTCACCGGATGTGAGATACGTAGGCAAACCTCATAGGTTCCGGCCCCCACTTTTCAAAAAATCCAAAATATTTTTATTTATTTCCTTCTTTAGGAAAGTCTTTCTTTAAGACCCAAATTTTTTTAAAAAGATCCAAAATTTTTTTTTAATTTCTTCTAAGAATCCAAAAATATTTTCATTATTCTTTAGAAGTTTTTCTTTCGAAAATTGAAAAAAAAATTCAAGATTCAAAAATATTTTCTTTGGAAGTCTTTCTTTCATGATTTTAACATAAAAATCCAAAGATATTTTCTTTCTTCTTTAGAAGTTTGTTTTTCGAAAAAAAAACGAAATCAAAAAATATTTTCTTTCTTCTTTATAAGTC